TTTAAAAAAAAAAAAAAAAAAAAAAAAAAAAAAAAAACTATTTTTATAAAAACGTTACTCAACTATGATAATTACGACCATCATTACAAAAACATATACGATCAATAAATTCGACGAAATCAAAAAATTTCTTTCGCAAACGATTAATTCGATGATACAAGGATGTGTATATGTAAATTAAAAAAAAAAAAAGGAAGAAGAAGATTAAAAAAAGGATAAGAAATAAAAAAAATAAGAAAATTAACGCATAATAGATGATTACGATACTTTGATCACGAATAAAGAGCCGAGAAGAAGGTCGCAGCAGCTCGATCAATAGATTTAAAATCAAATCTTCGCTCGACAAATATTACGCACGGTTCGAACAACCGATTAAGCAAGATGGATGGAGGCAGACGCGGACAAGAAACACGTCTGTCGAGGTGCTCACAACCGTTCAATGGATTTTCATTTTCCATCTTTTCGAGGACACGTGAAGAAAGCGAACTTTAACGGAGGTGATCGACAACAGAGTTCTCGAGAAAGGAGAGATCGTAAAATTATGCAATGACTTTGGTAATTTATATTGCTCATGGTTAACGAACGTTTCACGAACCTCCTCAACAGGCAGGCTACTTTGCATTCTCTATCAACAGTGAGCAAGAGGATCAATTTACACCTGCGTCTCTTCAATCGTTAAACGTTTCGAACTTGTTTATTAAAACGAGCTTTTTTCTTTTTTTTGTTTTTTTTTATGAAATTCATCTGTTTGGATATCTTTCAAGCGAATGATCCGATTAAAGATTGGATTAAAAAATTTTCAAACGGAATATTCGAAATTGTACACCTCCACAGTGTATTAATGATGCTTCTGTTGATCATGTTATACCATAATATCGTTCGTTGAATATTACGAAACAAGATTTTATATTAGATAAAGGATGAGAAGGATTGGAAAAATGAAGCGAGAAAAGTCGCAGAAATTATATCACATGACTGATCAATTTTTATGGAATTCTGTTACGCGTCCTTGAGAGTGAAATTTTTCGAAGCCGAATCCAGCATCCCAAGACGAATCACGTAATCTCGAATCGTGTTTCGTGACTGTGGAAACGTCACAGACACTTCTATATTTAGACTAACGTCTAAAAATGTAAAATGTAATTTTTAATTATTCATAGAAATTTGCATTGCATGGTAAAAATGTATTTTACATATAAATTTCAATTATCTTTGGACAATCATTAAAATAATACGATGCCTTCTTATTTCGTTTTATAATTTTTATTAACTATTTATTAATGACGTGTAGCGTAGAGAGAATTCAATCAATGTCAAGAGCAGTCATTTATAAATCAATGTTAAAAAAAAAAAAGGTATCTTTTAAAATTATAAACGAGCACAGTAGGACAGAAAAGAAAATTATATTGAAAAGAAATTGATTGCATGCTTTTACTATCCTACTTTTCTAATGATGCGATCAATTTTAAGCCACTAGAGGAAAATATTTTGTTTCCTAGTTCTTATTTAACCTTTCACCTTAGCCAGAAATATTACAGCTTTCCCCTTAGATAACCCAAGGTTCAACCGTGAAGCATTATTCGATATTTTATTATAAATCAGTTATTTATATAATCTTCTTATTAGAAATCAGGATGTTATAGAGAGAGAACTTCCGCTCCACAAATATATTTATTTATATATTTAATTGTTGAAAAAAAGAATGAGAGAAATTTATATTTATGCCGAGTAACGAACTTTGAATTATACAATTTTGTTTTGCTCAGCAATAATTATCAAATATTATATAAATAAGATTAATTTTATCTTAAAAAAAATGAAGAAGAAGAAGAAGACTACGTACGAATAAATATATAGGTCAAGATGAA